AGCTAGCAGAAAATATTTTCTCTGTTAAGAATTCTACTGACATCATTTGTATGAGAGTTTGAAGGAGGAAAGAGCTCATTTCTTTTTTTCCTCTTTTTTTTTTTTTTTTTTTTTTTTTTTTTTTTTTTTTTAACAAGTGGAACATGAAATTAACTTTCTTAAAAAATGGACCTTTAAGGGAAGGGAACTTTGGCAATTAGTATTTCCCAAGTGTCCTCATGCTGCATATTATGTGCACATATACATACTTAGGCATTCAGTCTAAACTACTGTGTGTAATTGTAGCAGCAACACCTTCTATTGATGACAGAGATTGTACCAACAAAAGATGTCTCCTGAGGCAGCTGATAGTTGTCTTCTAAATGAAATTGTTGTCTTCTTGTGCTAGCAAGAGCCTGAACAGCAACACTTGCATTAAGACTTTTATTAGAAGATACAATGAAAAAAAAAACCAACTGCATTCATTCCTCATCTCCCACCAATACTGTGCTATAACCTTTTCTACTATGAACTTCTGTCCTTTTTCATAATTTATTTTGCCTGATCAGAAAAATATTTTTATCCAACCTTTTTAAACTATGCATTTACTCTATATCAGTGCTGCAGTTTTGTGTTAATGTCAAATAGAACAAAAGGCTTTTACATCTACAAAAGCAGGGTCATTAGGTAGGCAGTCCACTGGCTATGTCCTCTTAGAGGTGTCCAAGCACAATACACCAGGCTTGCACAGCTGGGTATACCCCTCAAATGCATGTCTCTATAGGCTAACACCAACTACTTCATTCACCTTAATACATTGCTAAAAGTATATCCTGAGGCATCCAACTGTGAAGTACAGTCCTACAACCCTTCAGCTGGGTCCCTCCAACACCACAGCTGAGATGCAGCCACCTACAAATGGCTGTAGCTCTTGTAGTTGGACAGGGCATTAAGCTGATACACCTTACTGCTTTGAATTCTGGTTACCCATATCATTCTCCATTGTTTGATATTCCAGCCTCTTCTTCAGAGTGCTGAAGACTCAGGCACCTTCTTTTTCTCTTTTGAGGGAGTTGCTCAACAAAAAGCACTTCAGAAATAAGTGGCCTGAATTTTTAAGTGCCTGAAGCATCTAAAAAGTCTAATTTTAGGTTTTTATTTTTAAGTGTCTTGGGTGCTGTTTCTAGAGTTCTCCAAAAAACTTCATCCAACCCACCATACAGACTGTTTTTCCTACACTCATCTTATTAATCTAGAGGTTCCCACTCAATTTCTTCACACCAGTTCAGCACTGGAGGTGCTGGAGCCTTCCTGCCTGCTGAGCCTGCCATATGGAAGAGCTATTTATCCCCCTCACTGACTCTCCATTTTTTATTTCATTTAAACCAGGCATACAACTTGTTCCCCATTGCCTATTCCTATCAAGTCTTCTCTTTCTTACCAACTTTCCCCCCCTCCCACTTTTAAAAAGTGCAACGAGACTAAGTTTGGAAAGCACCTGAAGTGTAGTCTGTGGGAAAGATGAAATGCAAAATAAGTAACTTGTTTATAGCTGTCTAAAGTAGGAGCAGTGCTGATGAAATTTTAAAATCTCTTGGAATTACCAGACATTCCTTCCTCATTACTCAATCAGTTTTAGAAGGTCTGGGTAAATCTGCTTGCACATAAGGTGGCACAAAAAAAAAAAAAAAAAATTAAAAATATTCTGATGTTAGAGAGGTTTTAGAAACACAACCTCTTAGACAATTGCCTGTGCCTACTCACAGTAGCTGCAAGCATACACAAGCTGCTACAATTTCTTCTGCAAAGCATATGTGTGCAAGGTAAAGCTCATATCTCTGGATCTGCAAAGCAGAGTCTGATTTATAGGAAGATCCCTTAAGTGCTTCCTGCATAGCCAAATCAAAAAACCCCACATATTTTTAAAATACCTTTGATTTTTATAATACTTCCCATGAATTGATAAAGTAAAACTGGTTACACATTTCTTGCACATAATCATAACTTGCATGGCTATTTAATTAAATAGACAGATATTAATAAATCCAGCTAGGCCCTGAAGTAAGTTTTCATTTAATAGACAATGTGATGCTGACAGTTCCATTTTAAAGCACAAACTGTCTACATGCACAAGTCTAAACATAGATGTTTAGATACTTTTTTAAATGCATTTGAACTCGGTTGTCATATCTATAAAGTGCTTTACACATCATGATAATTACTTAAAATAAATTCTTAAAGAGCAAGAGAGCAACACAAAACACGTTTGGCACTTGTTAGCTCAAGCTCAGTTACTCACTGCCATAAACTCTGTCATTTGCCAATTTGTTCTGAGGTTAATGTAACAGAATACTAATTAAAAAAAAAAAAAAGTCAGCTGAGAGCATTACTTTTCTAACATACTTTCTCAATCCATTTACTTGATCTTGAGCACAGGCTGCTTTTAGGAGAACATGAAAACAAGGGCAAAACAAGGTAAACCTCTGCATAATTGTATTAGGTCAGCCACAGATCTAGTGTGCTTGTTTATGCTATAAAACAGCCAGTCATACACAAAGCATCACAGGAATCTGAGGATTGTTTTCTGTTTTAGAGTAAGTGTCTGTTACAGGTGTGTCAGTACATTCAACCTCAGAAAGTAATAAATGATGTGATTATATTTTAACTATCAGAAATTGTTTTTGAGACAAGTGACAGAAAATTTCTTTTAAGGCAAGAGGGTGATATAGGTCATACATTAACATATGCTCTAAGAAGATAATTATTCTTTCAGGCGCCAAAGCCATAGACTCAATATTGGAGCAACTCAGTCAGTATAGTAAACATGTTCATCTGGTATCAGTACTGTGCTGTCCAAGATTAAACCATCCATTTTCACCATCAGGAATGTGTGCCATCAAACATTTAAGAAGATACAGAGAAACTCGCCTCTTTAATTTGCCTGTCAGCACAAGTCAGACATAATGCACTATGCAGTAATACTGGCTTAGCAACTTAACCTTTGTGATTTAGACAAGTCCCATAGACAAGGTGGTATGTATAAGAACAGAAAACCAACACCTCTCCCATCCTGGGTCAGTCCAGATGGTTCTGGACTCTCCCAATACTCTGTACAAGGATAACAGAAGATGATATTTGGAAAAATCATGCAAGTTTGGCCACTTTCTGTGGTCTGTTTCCCTCATACTTCCCTAGGGTCTGCAACTGTTGTTCACGAATGTCAGCATCTGTTTATGGGCAAGTTGCCCATGACTGCTCTTGTCTATAGACACACTGTCCATGTTCCAGCATGACAGGCAGAGAGGCAGTGGAGTATCCACCCCTGAAGACTGTCAAAACTTAGCAAGACAAAGCCTTTGCTGTTCTATCTGGTGCTGGCTGAGGTCCTGCTTTAAACAGGACACCAGACTATGCAACCTTCAGAGGCCTTTTCCAGTCAACAAGTCTGTCGAAAAAGTGTTGCACAATATCCAAACAAACTATTCAGATGTATGAACAACATTCTGTTACTTCAGCACAGGTTACATCCTGAGCAGCTAGGGCTCAGACCCTGTGATCACTCAAAGCACATACAGAGTTCACAATATAAAGGTTGTGGAAGGAGTCCCAAAAGAAACTGCAGTGAGTCAAATTTAACAAGTAGATAAACACAAATCTTAGTCTGTAGTTCCATATGCAGACTGTGTTTTGGGTGCTCACAGAAGAATATTCAACTATGGTCAAATTGACAATAATACATTTTAATACTGAATTAGATTCAGAACTCATTTTGATGATGTGGTGGATTTCTACTCTCATTATTATTACTCTTATGAAACCCAGCCCACATTCCAAATCCTGCTTCACATATAAAGCAATCTTAGCTTAGCTTTGATATTCCTGCAAGATCACTTGAAGAAAATAGGAGAATAAAACACCACAGAGCAAAATTTTTGGGCATCACAAAATGCAAACACATACAATCACTCACCACTTAAAATACAGACTTCATTATTAAAATGGGTAGATTGCTAATACAGTTTCCTTTTTTAAAAGCAACATAACTTACAATGACAGCCAGTTTCAAGGGATCAGACATAACACAGTGAAAGATGTCTAAGAAACACATTTTTCTTGATCTTTTAGACAAGTGAAAGACATGTAAATGGTTCCCTTGAAGCAGAAGAAACAATCACATTATATTGCAATAACTCAACATCTCACAAACTATTGCCAAGCAACAGGACAAGAGGCAATGGGCAGAAAGTGATGCATGGGAAATTATATATGAGGAAAAACTTTACTGTGCAGGTGACCGTGCTCTAGAACAGGGTGCCCAGAGAGGCTGTGGAGTCTCTCTCACTGGAGATACTCAAGAGCCGTCTGGACACAGTCTTATGCCATGTGCTCTGGGATGAGCCTGCTTGAGCAGGGAGATCAGACCAGATTACCACTGTGGTCCCTTCCAACCTTGCCAAAAGGAGTCAAGCACAATCTCATAATTATTTATGGGGAAGCAGGCTGCAAAACAAATTCCAGGGTGCCTGAGATGGTTTTAAAGACTCATGCAGATACTGACATTCCAGATGAAAATCCAAAAAAACCAAAATATTCAGGGAAAGATACTGATAAGCCCCATAAAAAATTCTTCACACTCGGTATGCCTCCTCCCTCTCCAAACTGGAAATCCTTTCTAATCAGGATCCTTCTAAAGAATCTCTGCTGAAATTCCAATGTAATCCATTGTAAGAATTACATTTTTTCCTAAAGCATTTCCTAAAGCATGCCTTCTTCAATACTTCTTCTTATGGGGAAAAAAAAGGAGTAAGAAAGAGTTTAGGTAGGTCAAGCAGGTTAATTCTTTAGAGCAATTTGACATCAGCATTAAGGTAATGCATCAGCTTAAGCTTATTGGTCACTGTGAGCATTTGTAAGCTTAGTAGCCAGCCATGTAAGCAAAAGACATAAACCACAAATAAACAAACAGACCCTGCTTTGGTAAAAAAGCATACTTGATTTTTTTTCTGTGAAAGAAAACTCACCGATGGTGTAATATCTCTTCAGGTCGCTCCTCCGCGGGTTGCGCCTTTGGGTGTTTGTGGTGTTGTCCTGCTCCTCCTCGGAAGCCGCTGTCTGAGCAGCAGGCAAAGGTTTGCTGGGCTGAGGCGTCTGAGCTTCTGCTGCCACTGGGTTGCATCCTGGCCCACTAATATCCACCGACTGGGACTTCTTCTTTAATCTAAAGGCAATTTAAGACAGTAAAGTGTCACTGATCATCATTCTATACCTAGATTATGTGTAGAATTACAGTTATATTCTACGGCTCATTGTACAATAATTCATGCATGTCACAGCCGAACAGGGAACAGCAGTGATAAATTAGGCCTTGCATCAATTTCCCCTTTCAGGTTCTGCTAAATCTGCTAAATCAGTTACAGCATGTCCATTCCCCATGTGACTGCAAATAGTAAACTGCCCTCAGATCAGCCTGCAGAGCTGCTGCAAGGATCAGTCCCTAATCTATTTCCAAGCCAAACTGCCCACCATTACCCTATCTTTAAGTTGTTTGGTTTAAGTTTCCACAGATGAGGGGAGTACAAGGAAATTAAATAATTTGCACAAAGTTGCTGAAAACCTTAAGAGAAAAGAACTGATGCATGATCTTCTGAATTCAGATGTAGCTCTTCAACTGCATTTCACATTCTGCAATATTTTCAACACATTGTTTCTCAAGAATCCCACTAACCTCAGGTATAATTTTTGCACTGCAATAGCAGTGGACAAGGCAAAAGAAATTCTCTGTTCTGCAGAAGAAATTAGTGTTCAGCTCATTACTGACAGATAGGTACTGTATGAATTATTAACCACTATTCTCTGGGCCCGATCATCGAGCTAGTTTCTTACCCCTCTAGTTGCACACACATCCAGACATAACATCACAACTTGTGCACAAGTATATTCTGATACATTGTCAAAATCCTTTTTAAAGTGGAGGCAAATGACATTATCACTCTCAACTCCTCCTCAGATCTAGACATTTTATCAAAGTTCTGAGGGAAAGCCTTAACTAACTTTCAAACCTTTGGAGTGGGGTGAGTACACCCCTGTCACTGATTCACCATAGTTCTGATGTCTCCACTATCTCTAGCAATGTAAAATAGAGCTTACTATGCTGCTAAGGTTATTGAATAGAGACAAATTACCTGCTGCAATGAAGTTCACAGCATACACATTTGATTTTGTCAATACTTTTCTTAAATTAGGTCTCTATAAATGTATATAGCTGACTACATGATTTGATCCTGGAAATAAAAGAGGTTTATGACATTGCAGTGAGATATTGATTTGAGAGGAAGGGATCATAACAACTCTGAAATTTTGAAGCAAGTGAAGTAAAATGATAAAGTTCTGCAATGCTAGAGGATAATTTTATTAGGCTAACAATTTAATGCTAAGCATCTCCCTCTTAACTTTACATTTCCTTATTTTTCAAACATTTTCTCCAGGTATTGGCTGCAATTAAACAGCATAGACTACTCCACTGAGCATGGAATCTGCTAGTTTAAGATATTAACTGATCAAATATTGTCATAATAATAAAAACTTCTCTAAATAGGTTGGAAAATACACAGGTCATGATCAGCCTCCAGAAGTTACGTTAATGTATCAATGTGTATATAGAATATTATGAATTACACTATGAGGGCAAAATACCTATACTCATACAGAGTATTGCTTAGTCCAGGGAAAGGACTAGAAGTTAGAAAATTGGCAGTTAGAAATTAACTTCTCTATGTGATTCAATAAGACTACTTTCACTAGAACCTATTTCGGGACTAGTTCAGGGTGTCTTGCATTTGAATGAGTGGTTCTTAGCTCCAGTGACTCCACACAAACAGTTTGGGTTGACAGGGACATTTTTCACTCCTACATATAAGAAAGGCTGTACTGCATCATCTAGACAAATATCTCCACCAATTCCATTAATGGACATCTTTCCAGCCTCCAGTAGATTCTAGTTTATGGGTTTTCTGAGTTAGACACTGCACCTTTGGAGTTACATTTCTTGGTTTGTCTTTAATTACTCCAGAAATCTTTTAAAGTTCTGAGGTGGGCAGCATCCAGCCTTGATGGTTTCTGGTTTAAGTCTGCACTGAGTTCAGACAGCAACACCAGTAGCTTATTTTAATGACTTATAAGAGTGACATTATGAGAAACAATGAACAACTACTGCTCCACATAAACCAGCTGCTTACATTTGCTCTTGCGGCTCAAAGAGCGCTAGAAATATAGGATAAAACTGTCACTGTGATAAAACTATCCTTACTTGAAGGGTCTTGGTCAGTGGACCCTCACATGGAGTCAGTGGAGACACAGCTTGGGATAAACTAACAGCACTATGAGCGCATACATATGAAATCAAGAATGGGCAGGGCATCCTCTGAGTAAGCATCATGTGAGAAGAAAAGAAAGCTCTTTTGCTTGAAATTATGTTCCTGAAACTGAGACCTTGTTTTGAACACTGCTAGCTTTAAGCCTACAGCTGGTCAAATATATTTACCTAAAATGAAGGCTGGAATATTTCAATGAATTATTAACAGTGAAATGCTGTTCTACCATAATGTTATTCTGCTATACTGTTGAATATTCCATCTCTCAGGTGATGTAAAAAGTATTTATAATTCCTTACCACTAGGAACCTTTGAAGATTTAAAGGATGACTTTTGAGAAGAAAATCACTAGTTTTCAAGAAGTAATGCTCTACCTCAGACCACAGCTTTCACTGTGATTGCAGGGTATTGCTTCTGTGTTGTGTAAAATAGCTGTGGGCAAAGAGGCTGCAAAGTGTTCAGCACCTCTCCATAATCCTGAGCCCCCCCGATCAATAAGGGTACATATGTCCTGCATTATGCAAGTCTATGTTCTGCCCCAAAGGAAGACAGCAGGTGAGTGGAAATAAATTTTACAAATTGAAAAATACTGTTATGATTTATGCTTTCAGCTGTGTTATGAACACATTCTTCACCAACAAGGCTGTCTGAAGGACAGTCCAATTAATAAAGCTGTCTGGAGGTAGCTAATAAAATAGCTTTCTGCACTGTGGGAAACCAGATTGTTATTAGAAATACACTGTCTAGTCTTCTAGCATCACATAGGAATAAAGGGATAGTACCTGCCATTTGCACAGTAAAATTTTCACATGGCCTTTTTGAAGTGACTTATGATTAATAAATGACTTGGTTGAAATGCTTGTAGCAAATTAATGTCGAAAAATTATCTCTTGCAATTGAGAATAATTTAAAAGTAAGACTTCCAAAGAAATAGGAACCAAAATTATCAAAGCAGGACCATGACAGCCAAGCAAGTGCATGTAATATTGTCAAACTGCTCTTGAGAGACCATGGTGACAGTGCTTTTGCTGGCAGGAAAGACACAGGGTCTGAATTAATCCAGACTGCAATAACAGGATCAGCTGAGTAGGACACAGGACACAATTTTATGGTAAGGACTTGACAAAAAACAAGAAGTTTACTCTAATGCATCTTTCTTCAGCCCACCTTAATTGTAAATTGATACAACTATGGCTAGCAAATAGTTTGGAAAAACACTGCAGTCTTTGAACTGTATCTTCCGTAGACCACATGTCTTGCAAGTAAGTCTGAGTTCTGCATGCATTTTGAAGCCAAGAGAATGAATTCTCCATAAGCCTGACCCTTCTTCAACACCCTGCTCTATTACTAGCTCTGTGTTGCACTTGGTTTTGGGTTTTCTGCTGGGTTTTTCATATATATTACAGCTGTACATTTGGGTTGGAATGATTTATTCCTCGTCAGAAAGGAATCTGAACATGAAATGCCTTGGGATCACATTCTTCATTCTTCCTTTGTTTCAGGCTGCTTGCTTGTAGAAAAATAAATGAAAGTTATAAGAAGTACTGTGACAAAACTTTTTATCTTTTATTCTATGTATTTTGTAGCAGCCTTCACCTAACTTTTCAACAATGGGCAACACAGTCTTTCAATATTGCCTGGTGTGACACAAAATGCTGCTGCTTCAGCCTCCCAGCTGACAGCCAGATAATGATGGCTGCAAAGACAACACTGCACAGCTGGGGCCGGGAAATGCTTGTCTGACAGCAAGGACAAAGTCCTAACTTGACTGAGATCTGAAGCAGAAGGGGCAAAAATTTCCTTTTCTGCAACTATGCTTAAATCATAGTAACTCTAGGGGAGAGAAAACCATGCAATAAAACTAAGAAAATCTGCATCTTTTGGGAGATGTGGAACCCTGACCTGGCTACTGCTGCTGTCTTCTGGCTACTGGTAGGTTTTGTGAATTTTCGTTGTGCTCGCCTTGGGATCTTAGAAGACACGGTGTTCCTACCAAAAGTGGCTCATTCAGAGGAGAAGCTAACATGGAATAACTCTGAAGGACCAGCTGCTGACAAGTAATCAAGACAACACATCCTAGGGCCAAAGCTGGGGTTACCCAGTGCTGGTGACCAAGTCTGGTTTGCTTGGAACACAGCTGAGCAGCACCTTGGTTTGACACAACCCTGTTCAAACACACCTTTGATGCACCTGTTTGTGTATTTCAATTGCACTATTGCTAATAAGCCATTAAACTCCCAATTTCTTCATTTCTATCTCACTGTATTTTCCTAGGACTTAATGCTGCTCATCCCCGTAACTCCAGCTGTTGAAAACCTTCTATGCAGCCTTGGTACCTCTAATCTACTGAACAGAGGCACAAAACCCAAATCGGCCTCCCAGCACCCCCTGGTTACTAATCACTGAGGGTTTGCTCATTCAGCTAATCCAGGAGGAATGTGCATCTCCAAGCTGTGTGATATGACATCCCTGTAGGTAGACACACTGACTAGCTGTTGAACTTGCACTTTATTTCTCTGCCCTTCCTCTGCATACAACTGCAAGGTTTTCTAGTGCATCTTAGAGCTCCCCAGCAGCACTTCTCAGGAATGGGTCTCTTTGAATGGTTTCTTACCAGTTCCCTCAAAAAAAAAAAAAAAGAAGTCATCAGGCACTTGGTATGTATGGTAGGCCATACATATAGCAAGTCCTGGGGCTAGTGAATTACCCAGAAACTCTGCTGTAGAATTTATGAGCATTAGGATTTCATTCCTGGCATTCACTATCACAAACCTATTCCATTCCTAACAAAATCCATGCTTTTTTTTTTTCCTTTTTTTTTTTTTTTTTTTTTTTTAATATTACAATG